CCATGTTCGTCCCAAATATCTTGTACGTTAGCGTTAGATATCCCACTGCATGTATATCGTTACTGTAGAATGCCCGCTCTCTTATTAGCAACAGACTCGATAAAAAGTTAGGTTATGATTCAATGCTCGCTGTGTTCGGATGGTACCACAACACTTGTATAGGCAGAATACTAGGAGATTTCAGCGGCAGCAACTGCATCTCCAGAGAATAACAACAACGAAGATCCATACAAAACATTGAAAAGCAGATATATAGCACCGAAAAAACGTATAGTTAAGACATCTCGTACCGAGTTTGTATCTTCACTAGATTAAGTCGTATAAAGAGATGTTTATAATAATATTAATAAAACCCCGTCTCTTTTTAACGCCTTGCATAAATCAATAAAGTCTGAGAGGATTACAGATCCCCTGCAGTTAGCCATTAAAACATTTGACAGCGATAGTTTCTCTCGTGGTTCCGCCTTTTTGTATGAGAGAGAGAGAGAGAAATGGGGTTTAACGTCCACTCGACACAAACTAGGTCATTTCGGGACTAACATATGGTTTTTATTTTAATTCAATAATTCGCTTGCGCATAGGGGTCTTTAGCAGTGGGAGGAAACCGGAGGACCCGGAGAAAACCCACGAGGTTGGACAGGCGACCCTACTCCTTGTCACGTACAACCGGGGATTCGAAACCATGCCAGTCGACTCAATGACAGACTTTATGATACAGCGCGCGCACGCTAACCATTCAGCCATCCACCCCCCCCCCCTTTTTGTATGAGGGCAACACCAGATTAGCTATCGCGTTAAATATGAATATACTATGGGTGCCTTTAAGGACTCATTATAATTTCCTTCCATCAGCAGACACCAACTGACAATATTATCCCTTCAATTCCCGACAATATGCCAAATGAGCCATCACCTGTAGACGTTATTGTAAAGGAGCAACTTTTCACTGCGTCTGTATAGCTGCAACAAAAAGCTCTTGAGTATAAATGTGATTTTCGCCTTACTATGTATGTTATGTAAAGTTAACATCATCAAGATCATCATGGATAAATTTTGATTACATATTCTTGTATGATTTGTGAAATCTCAGTGAAAATAATTTTGTATTTGTGTGGATAAATCAGTGTTTGGTCTCAGATCTGGGTTTATCAGGGACGCAACTCAATTTTCAAAATTTCCTTATTGTGACTCATAATGCCACACGGGTAACATTTTATGACTTTCAGTTTATTGAATTAATATATACTATTCAAAAAAAGTAGGGGATATTTGATTTTTAAGTGTTATTAAAGTCACCTAATGAAACTGACGAAGAAACAAATGACAAAATGAAATGAAGTTCACATTCATCGATTTATTCCAAATGATCGTTAGACTAAGTAAGGCACAGACTGACCATTATAAGGGTAAAATGATACCCGGGGTCAAACAGCAAGTTACCACAGCATCACAACCAAGTCAGTAACGATTAAATCCTCCTCTGTTTGCCAAACAAGCATTGATCCGACGTGGCATACTCCTAATGAGACGTCTAAGGTCATTTTGGTCCAGATTGTCCCATTCCTGTTGCAACGCAGCAGCAAGTTCTTGGACATTGGCAGGACGTTGTTGACGTTGACGTAACCTCTGTCCAAGCATGTCCCAGTGCTGGCCAAGGTGATGTTCTGTTGTTGGAGGTAACCTGTAACGATCCTGGCCCTGTGACATCTTGCGTTGTCATCCTGGAAGATGAAACGGCGGCCATGACGTCGTGCGAACGGCACAACATGGACTGCCAAGATGTTTTCCCGGTAGTACTGGACTGTAACACGCCCTGCAACAACATGTAAAGCCGTTCTTCCAGCAACAGTGATGCCTCCCCACACCATAACAGAACCACCCCCAAATCGATCATGTCTGATGACGTTAACGTCTTGGAAGCGCTCGTTTCGACGACGCCACACCCTCCTACGTCTGTCCAAAAAATCAACAGTGAACCTTGACTCATCTGAAAACATCACATTGCTCCAGCGTCGATTATCCCAGTGTTGACGATCCCTACACCAACGACGTCTTGCCTGTATGTGATGATCTCTCAAACAAGGGATCACGCGAGGACGTCGGGCGCGAAGGTGACCCCTATGCAGTCGATTCCGAATCGTCTGGCCACTCACTCTCACACCAGTGTCTGTTTGAAGACGAGCGCTGATCTGATTTGCTGTGATGACACGATTTCTCAAGGCCAAGGTACGGATAAATCGATCCTGGGCTTGAGTTGTCGCCCTGAGCGTGGTCTGTCCTGTACAGATTGTGTATCACGGTATCTGGACCATAGCCTGCTTATGACAGACTGAGAAACATTTATCGTCCGCGCCACAACCGCCTGTGTTGTGCCGATCTGTAGCATGCCAAGGGCACGTAACCTTTCATTTTGGGTAAGCCGACGCATATCAAAATTTGTTTTCTGGTCACTAAAACAATTAAACTGATGTTTCCACCCTGGAATTCAATGCCACAATGACTGTAACATTCAAAGTCAGAGTCGTGCAAATCTTGGGTTGGACCCCCATGATGATCCCAAGCATCACCTGCATTCCATGCGGTAGCTATTGGTGCGTTTGGGCGTCACATGTAACTGGAAATGTTTCTTCTGTTAGGTTCTATAGTGACTTTTTTCGTAGTCATGTGCATATTTTAGTATTATGCCCCCAAAATCAAATATCCCCTACTTTTTTTGAATAGTATATTTATGGTTTCTCTTGTATCAGGGGTCACCTTTGCTCACTCATTACCCCGCCCACACATATACACTTCCCCTTAAATTATTATTCATCTATAGCTCAGGTTAAGGGTTGCCCATTTATAGTGTTAATACACTGATTTATAGATAATAGAGTTTCCCCCTGTAATGCCTGTTGGAGTTTACATTGTGTTGGTTTAGTTGTAAATGACCCCTTAATCAAAGATGTTCAGTTTTAATTGTATTCGATTGTTACTTTTGTTGCATGCACATATTCTGTATATATATTTGTCTACTTTTCACATACATGTATCTTTTGCTTGTATTAAACTCAATACTTGTGTATCCATAAAATTGTACCTTGTGTCTTACATGATATTTGTGACCATAAGTAGGTACAAATATTTTCAGGCTTCAAAGAAAGTGTACAGTTTGAATGCTGACTTCCATGTGGTAAGACATGCATCACCTAGGAGTAGCTGGGATAAACCCAAACAATGTGATAAGTTTTTAATAGACCAGACTAATGTGGACCAATCTATGAATAATTATTGTGGAGATGCATCAAAATCTGTTGTTATGATTAACCTTGCAATTAACCAGACAACCAGGTTGTTAAAAAAAACTATTTCATTTATTCATTCATTTCAAATTACAACTAGTAGATTAAGATTATGTAGTTTGTTCAATGTCATGCATCCTAAATACAATATCATTAGTGTTGGCACATTTTCAAACAGGGGCAAAAAAAATCCTCTTCTAATTTTCCAGGCACGATTTGGGTACCTATTAATAGATGTTGAGTGTAGAATATTTTAATCAACGATGGGTGACATGCTAGTGATCACTTTAGTTCCATCACTATTGTTAACGCCGATGAATGTATCGCCGGTGAATGGTATTGCCTATGGGTGAATGATATCGTCGATGAATATTTGTTGATGAATGGTATCGCCGATATATGGTATAGCTTCGTTCGTTTCTGAGGTATTACGTCCACTTCCACCTAGCGTGATATCGTAGACAAGATGGTATGGCCGATGGAGGACCTATATTATGTGATTGGTATCGTCTATCAGTGGCATCGTAGCTGGTTAGTATCGCCTATTAATGGTATCGTCTATGAGTAATCGCCGGTAAATAGTATCTTCGATGCATGGACCGTGTCTTCTGGGAATGGTATATTTGTCGTTGCCGATGAATGGTATGATATATGGTATTGCCGACGGATGGACCTGTTTAGATGACGGCAGCAACTTCATAATGGTCCAGTGCACGTACTTAAAAAGAATTGTTGTATATCTTGTATTATATAAACTGAACTCTTAGTTTGGTATTTAGTCTTGTTTATTCCCTAGTACGGTCACGCCTCGTCCATCCTCTGACACTAATTGACTTTTTTTGGGTGGCGCATTTTATTAAAAGATATGAATCCGTATTTGCCCCCACTCTTTATTTTACTGATTCGATGACTTGATTGTTGATCCTCATTTCCACAAACTGGTACGACACATTTCCACTATTTAACTTTAAAATACATGAATGTTTGATATGTGACTTGTTTTATTTATGAAATGAAGTGTGTGCAGAATGAATGATTCTGTATTATGATTTTATGAAATAATTTATAGACTGCGATATTTTTAATTCATAAGCTTACATTTGGTATATGACAGGTACGGGGATTCTGCTGTTATCTATGAAACTTCTACACAGTCCATCACTATGTAAGCTATATATACTAATATTTGTTACTGTCGTGTGTCTGTCTGTATGTTCGGGTTTGGTGGCAACAGCAGGGCTGTCCTGAGGCTGAAGTCTGGTATATAGGGGTAGCTCGGATCAGGGAATAACCTCAATCTGGTGGCTTTGGACTTCTGGTTTCGGAGTTGTGTCATTTTCGGTTCCGAGCGCCACACATGCAGCTCCGGGCCACCCGTAAGTAATACCATTAAAAGACAGATACTACATGTACATTGTTCATGACCTGATCACAAAAATTTTTTGCAGTTATTCTTTAATTTTGATTTTTGTTTCACCAGTATGTTGCAAATAAAAAGGCTTTTTGCTGATACCTGAAATTTCACCCATATATAGGATCCGGCTCAACAATTATTTATTTTTTGCCTCCCTCTCCCCTTTTTGCATGGTTTGAATATACATTTTCAGTCAAGGTTTGGTTAATATTCATGATTTTGAGGCGGAAGGCTACAGGAGTTAAGAGGTTGGTTAGGTTGAAATGTATGTTTAACGGTCTCTACTTTCAGTTTGTGTATCTCAAGTTTTCCATGGTGAACCTCATACGTGTTTTTGGGCAAGAGGTTGCTACATGTTACCCCGTCTGTGATAGAAAGCGTTTTATCCAACGAAAATTTGGGTAACAGTTAGAGTCGGTCTAAGAGACGAGAATTAACATTAAAGTCGATCGGGAAATCATTCGTGATCTGTGGCCAGGTGTGACGACAGCGCCCTCATCTATAAATAGAAATAGAACCGGCTAAAGGCGGAAGATAAACTCAGGTAGATTTTGTCTTGAATATTTCTTGAACCTTTTAAATCTAAAGTTTAGATAATCTGAGGTTATAATTGAATAAATAAGTGACTTGGTCGTTATTTGAATAACTGTCAACAGGGATTTGACGCTGGGCTGCTATTCTGTACGGGTGACATGAAACTAAAGTAGCCATTGCTACTGCGTTGTTATTTTTAGGTTGGTATATCAAATAGGCTAACATGGTGTGTATAGCCATATATAAGTTACATTGTATCTAGTCATAAATATGATTGTAGTTCTCTAATGAATGGCGATAAATATCTTCACACCAGCATTGTTTTGGTTGATTAAATGACTTTTCGGGGCGTCCCCATACCCCCCCCCCTCTCCTCCGTATTTAGTCAACATTTGATATGTAGCTACTCTATCGATATACAGTTGAACTTTTATAAACAACTAACAATATAATATTGTATTGTTGTCGTCGGTCTGTTTACTGATGCATAACACTTTTGTATGGTTGTCTCCCATGAATGGTTTGGTTATTTCAACAATTCATTTAACTTTAAGAACATCGGGAAATACTTGGAATAATATTCACATAATATCTAGAACTATTAATGTTATGTGATTATTGCGGTAATATTGATCATAATAGTGGATGAAGAATTATTTTACTAGTATTGGAGCGCGTAGTTTTTAAGTGTCTAGGAAAATCGATCGAGGAAGTCCTCAATTTAGAAAAAATGTATTAAAGATGAAATGAAATGAAATGGGGTTTAACGTCCTACTGTTCTGCTCCTAACCTATTAAAGGCGAAAGTAAAGAGTTTACTGAAACACAAAAATATACACAGATATAAATATTATGCATTGTGAATTAACTATACATAGATAACATTAAAGTTTATATAATCCCACTCAGTTATTGCAAACTTATATCGGTGTAGAAAAAAAACCCACGACGAATAGTACTTCAATAACATCCACTATAAATGAGGGAAGATACAAGTGCATGACAATTATGATGACGTGTAGAGCCATACTTCACAGAAGGACACTAGCTTGCAACGCCCCTTTGGTCTACCCATAGAAATATCAAATAAGAAATTTAGGGGGTTTTTTTTATCAATTTTAGACGAATAGAAACCAGTATATGTGCCCCCCCCCCCCCATAGCATACTGAGTCACAATGAGGAAATTTTGAAAATTGAGTTATTGTTCTTAAACATTGACTGAGCTGTGTCCATTAGAAGCTACCCAACTCACAAAAGTAAGTTTTGAGAAAAAGCATGTCAAAGATTTGGTATGTTCTAAAACAAAATCACATAGCAACCAGGCCATTTATCTGCTGTTTTGTCGTTGAATATATCTTTCCATGGGTTTTCAGGGGTGCTGAAGATGAAAATCGTAGTAAAAATTTGATCCGACTATTTCCGCAATTTATTTGCTATTTTGTCGTTTAATATATTTTTTATTTAGGATTTCAAGGGTGCTGACGATGAAAACCGTAATAAATGCACCCAATTCGTATAAAAACACCCACAACACATACGGCATAATATTCACATGATAGTGTTATACTGAAGAACAATCTATACATTTGTAGTCTGTTGTGTATATTATAACTTTGGTGAGATTAATCTCATCAATTAATTAGCACCTTAGTGTCAGCTAGTGGTCAGGAGATTAAGATTATTGATTGGATATTCATCAAAGAAGCCACCACAGCTGTACGCGTGTTCATTTAACACGTGAATTAAAATAAGATTTTGCGTGTACGATAGGTCTATTATTATTTTCAGGTACCTTGACGTTATCAAAATATGAGTCCCTATAGAAATGTCAATTTCATAGTCAAGAAATGTTTACGTTCACTTTCGTGCATTTGGCTTTGATGTAACATTTGGCTTTGTCTGGGCAACAGGTTGAGTTTATTTATATTTTTTGTTTGGGGGGGGGGGGTAAAACTCGATGGTATCCGTTCAAAATGATTTCATCGACAGTATTTTGATCATATTCGTAAACTAGAGATGCACCGCTTTACAACGATGCCAATTATTATGCAAGAGGAATGACCGGTCGTCCCGCTGCGAGGGAAAAAAAATAACTAAATTAGCCGAGAATTTTAAGAAATAGGACAGATTTAAGAATACGGTACTCTTACAAAAAGTTCAAATACAGGTGTTTTAAAATGTTTTATTGCTATTTTGATCTTTTGTGTCGATAGATAGTATATTTATAGACTCATTTTTGTGAAAATCTCAATTTTGATCAAAATCAATATTTTCACTTATTTTGTCTTTCTCATTATTGATTCGCGCGCATTCTGACTCATTTAGCTGTGGTCGGTCACATATGGCCAGTTCTCAATGGCCGTCTCAAAAAGGCATTTCTAAAAAAATCAAGGTGGTTCTGAATTCTTGGTAAAAAAACATAGTGCAGGGCATAAAGATGTAGTTCATCAGTAGGTATTAGAATACCTTGGTTCTCCATTGAGCAAAATAAATTATAAAATAATCCAATGCAGCCTGTCCACACATCTCGCCAAAATCGCTCAATTCTGAAAAGATAAAATACATTTACTGGAAATAATAAACTTTTACAGTACTAACATCACTATCAGTAACAGCTAAATATTTCTCTGTTTGTTTTTAATAACATGAAATTTTGCTTCAATCTTGAAATTAAGCTATAGGGACAAATTTGACATGACTATTAATTTCATCAAGTTGACCTTTAGAGTGTAGGCTATATTATGTTTTAAATATTTTGTAAAGCTGGTAGTCAATAAAAATACCTAACAGACAATATTAACTATGTGGACTCTCTGAAAGTGATGTCGGGTTGACAAACCCAGTCGCAGAAGGGCATCAGGTTTTCCAGAAGGGTGGGCATGCCCTGTCTGGCTAGCAATAACCGCCACATATCGATCATAGTGGAGCTATGAGAAAAATAAAGTTTTTTGACTTGTGTAATGTCATAATCTACAGTATAAACACAAACCTTTGGTTGTGAATGCTGCGTCCAGTTATATGGCTGCCTCTTCCTACTCCCTTTTGTTCAACCATAAATTTGGCAACAAGAACATTTTCACCGCCTTTGTCAGATCTAACTCTTTGCGGAATACCATACACTGGGACAGCTTCCATAAAACTCTGAACCACAGTCTCAGACCTGTTATTATCAGAAACTGTTAAATATACAGGTAATCTGGAGAAACTGTCTATTCCACCATGGATAACCATTCTCCTACTGCAAAAAGTAAACATAAAAATCTAATTACAAATCTAAATAGTCACACTCTGTAACAATATATACTATTCAAAAAAAGTAGGGGATATTTGATTTTTAAGTGTTATTAAAGTCACCTAATGAAACTGACGAAGAAACAAATGACAAAATGAAATGAAGTTCACATTCATCGATTTATTCCAAATGATCGTTAGACTAAGTAAGGCACAGACTGACCATTATAAGGGTAAAATGATACCCGGGGTCAAACAGCAAAGTTACCACAGCATCACAACCAAGTCAGTAACGGGTAAATCCTCCTCTGTTTGCCAAACAAGCATTGATCCGACGTGGCATACTCCTAATGAGACGTCTAAGGTCATTTTGGTCCAGATTGTCCCATTCCTGTTGCAACGCAGCAGCAAGTTCTTGGACATTGGCAGGACGTTGTTGACGTTGACGTAACCTCTGTCCAAGCATGTCCCAGACATGCTCGATGGGGGAGAGGTCGGGACTCAGTGCTGGCCAAGGTAATGTGCTGATGTTCTGTTGTTGGAGGTAACCTGTAACGATCCTGGCCCTGTGACATCTTGCGTTGTCATCCTGGAAGATGAAACGGCGGCCATGACGTCGTGCGAACGGCACAACATGGACTGCCAAGATGTTGTCCCGGTAGTACTGGCCTGTAACACGCCCTGCAACAACATGTAAAGCCGTTCTTCCAGCAACAGTGATGCCTCCCCACACCATAACAGAACCACCCCCAAATCGATCATGTCTGATGACGTTAACGTCTTGGAAGCGCTCGTTTCGACGACGCCACACCCTCCTACGTCTGTCCAAAAAATCAACAGTGAACCTTGACTCATCTGAAAACATCACATTGCTCCAGCGTCGATTATCCCAGTGTTGACGATCCCTACACCAACGACGTCTTGCCTGAATGTTATGATCTCTCAAACAAGGGATCACGCGAGGACGTCGGGCGCGAAGGTGACCCCTATGCAGTCGATTCCGAATCGTCTGGCCACTCACTCTCACACCAGTGTCTGTTTGAAGACGAGCGCTGATCTGATTTGCTGTGATGACACGATTTCTCAAGGCCAAGGTACGGATAAATCGATCCTGGGCTTGAGTTGTCGCCCTTGGTCGACCTGAGCGTGGTCTGTCCTGTACAGATTGTGTATCACGGTATCTGGACCATAGCCTGCTTATGACAGACTGAGAAACATTCATCGTCCGCGCCACAACCGCCTGTGTTGTGCCGATCTGTAGCATGCCAAGGGCACGTAACCTTTCATTTTGGGTAAGCCGACGCATATCAAAATTTGTTTTCTGGTCACTAAAACAATTAAACTGATGTTTCCACCCTGGAATTCAATGCCACAATGACTGTAACATTCAAAGTCAGAGTCGTGCAAATCTTGGGTTGGACCCCCATGATGATCCCAAGCATCACCTGCATTCCATGCGGGAGCTATTGGTGCGTTTGGGCGTCACATGTAACCGGAAATGTTTCTTCTGTTAGGTTCTATAGTGACTTTTTTCGTAGTCATATGCATATTTTAGTATTATGCCCCCAAAATCAAATATCCCCTACTTTTTTTGAATAGTATAATTTGATCTGTTAATAAACAGACTTTTACATATTAACTCCATGAAGAAAAATTTAAATTTAATGAATATCAACAGGCTTTTGCCTATAGCCCATTTGTAATTAACATAACAGTAGGGCCTACATGAAAGAAATATAACTACCAAAAAAAATGGAGAGGTAACAAACCCAATTGCAG